ACCCCAAAACCAAGAAGCGCATTTTTTTTTGCCCAAGCACAAGAAGCATGCCGAAAGGATATCAAGAGAGCATTTGGTGTGTTGCAAACTCGGTTTGCCATTGTTCGGGTTCCTGCTCACTACTGGGATAAGAAATCCCTCAGAAAAATCCTGTTTGCATGTGTAATTCTACACAACATGATCCTTAGATGAGAGGATTTAAACTTGATGATCTTGTTACGTGATGATGTTGGTAGCGATGTGAAGCGACGCACTACTAGCTACGTGATGATCTTGTTGAACATTAGTGACGACTGTATGGGAGACAAGACTCCCATTTTATTTCAATAAATTTTATATGTATTCATGTGTGATTTGAACAATTATTTGCCTTCCGAACCATTTGTTGTCGTATTAATTATTTGAGTTTAATTTTTTTTATAATGAGGATGATTGTTGTATTGTGATCTGCCTTCTGGACCATTAATAAGTTTAATTTATATTGTGATTCTATTAAGTTTATATTCTTAAAAATCATGAACTAGCAAAGCCCTGGATTTTTTTACGGTACTGTGTGGCCTCCAACGCAGAACAGATCCTGCAAATAAATCCTGCAAAATTTTGTGGGGCAAGTTTACAGGATCTGTTCCGCCGAAGGCCTCGCGGTACCGCAATTTTTTTTACGGGCGGCTCTTATATCAAATTGTGGGACGAGAAAATAGCGAATTTGTTCGAGTTTCTCTTAGGAGGGTGCCATTACACATATACTCATGCTTGGTCCTTCGATGGTGATGTTGGCAAAGATTCAGGAGCAGGATCATCTTCGTGCTTCCATGGCATAGGCCCCCATCCACAAAAGATAAAGATGAAGTAGCCTCTGTAATTTGAGGTTAAACCCATCATCTTCAATCTAGTTTCATACTCACATTTATGATCCTGAAAGTTACAGAGTTGCACTTGGAGGTTTTCGTTTTACATTGTTTTTCTTTGCATACATATAAAGATTGCAGCAGGGCTCCATTAAAAAAACATGGTTGTTCCATTCAACAGATCCTCTTCGTGATTAAATGAAATAAAAGTTTTGTGGATTTTAAACAATGTAGGATGTTCATCTTACACTTTGCATTCCAATAATTCCATGTTACCGCTTAATTCTCATTGGCTAAATGGTTCAGGGAATGTTTCCATAAAAAGGTATCATCTGATTGCTAAAACATATATGGCTCTATCATTATTTTTCATCATGCCATGTTTTGATTTTCCTTTTATGTAATTTAAATGCAATTTCACTTCCATATCTCCTAGGGAAAGGAAAAATGCTGAGTAATTTCTTTTTATTTCTGTTCAACAATTACCGTCTTCATAGTTACAACTTGTCTCCATTAATCCAATAAAATCTTCGATTTTAATGAACTCATATGTCGACTATAAGTACATGCATGACCAAGTATCTAGATAAGAAATCTCGAGAGTGCATCTGAGTCAGAATCATTTAGCTAATACTTGATATCATTCAAATGCATAATGCACCATTTTCCCATCACAACTTTCATAACATATACTATATGTTTTTGCGATGCATCAGATAGTTAACCTGTATGTTCTTGATGTATATTAGATTTATGTTTTAGGTGCCCCACAAAAAAGGCTTATGTTTAAGGTGTAAAGACGATAATGCATTTGCAGCCAAGGTGGCTGATACATAAATAATTTTAGTTCTTCAAGATGCATCTTACACTTGCGATTCTATAAATGTACATTAATGTCATTATCAGGTATAGTCCATTATATAGTACTATACTCCCTCCGTCTCTAAAAACAAGGCAAATACATTTTGTCTGAAGTCAAATGGTGCATAGTTTGATCAAGTTCGTAGGAAAAATCATCAACAACTACAATACTACATAGATGTAGCATGCAATTTTATTTAATCGAGTATCTAAAGATATTAATTTGGCATCATACTTCTTGATAGTTTTTCATGTAAACTTGGTGAAACTTTGCACTGGTTGACATCAAACAAAATGCATAAGGCTTCTTTTCTGAGGCGTAGTATATACTGAATTTGTGTTTGCCTAATGCATAAATATTTTATGTTATAGTAAACGTGATTTTTCTCTTTTCTGATCTGAAAATACACACGCAGATCACAACATGTTTTTATTTTTATTTTTGCACTTCATGTTGGGCAAAGCAGTAGCGAACCTGCTCTTCCAGGAGAGGCTCATCGCCATGATGTTCCCATAAGCAGTCAAAGAAGAGGAGTAGAAGACCATAAGGAAAAATCACCATCCAAATCAACAACCCAGTTCTCCACCAGCATAGCTAGCTTGAGACCGAATAGACAATGACTGGTGCTTGCTAAGAGCATCTCCAATAGATTATGTATATTTTGGTGCTCCAAAGGGATATAAAAATTTACATCACCAAAAAGTGTTTTTTACATTTTCAAAAAAGGCTCAATTACAACAGATGGTCCGAAACGGAGATGTAAAAGAGCAACTCCAACAGATGGTCCAAAACAAAGATGTAAAATCTGAAAACGACCAACTACTACTTCATCTCAATTTAGTTCAAACATCAAATTCAAACATAGAAGACATACATTTAAACTAGCAGAACTACTCTTTGGAGTCATCCGAGAGCCACCAGAACTCCTCGTCCTCCTCCGACGATTACTCAATGGGGATCACCGTCGAGGGGCCAGCCTTGTCCTCCTTCTTCTTCTTCTACTCGGCATCACGCTTCTAGTAGAGCTCTTGCTCGGCCTGGACGTACTCGGGATGCTCCCGCGCAAACCGAGCCATCGCCGCATCGTCTCTCTCGCCGGGAGTGACGACAACCGCTGGTCTCTTCTTCTTCTTCGCTGGCATCTCCTCCATCTGGATGCTCTGCGGCACAAGCCACTCCGCCACCACCCGGTTCTCGATCTCCGGGAAGTTGAGGTCCGTCTTCAGCCGTTCGGCACGCCACACCCCCAGGTCGTAGGGACGCGTGGCCTCATCGGCGGTGGGATACGTGCCGACCCACGAACGAGTCGGGGCGGCGGCGGGTGGAGAGAGGTCGGAGTGGCGGACGAGGGGGGAGCGGGTGGCGGCGTGCGGCACAGGGAGGAGGTGGACGAAGAGAGGCAGTGGCAGCGGGCGGGGGCGGGCG